GTCAATCTGATCCCCTCACAGAAAGAGATGGTAAGGCCTCTTGCACACTGCAGCTTGAAAAAGACGTCATATATCCATCATCTTCTTCCTGTGAATTCAATCTTCCCATACAGTGATCTCCAAAAAAAGAAATATAGTGTAGTATGCTCAATACACCATGCATCAAATCCTTTCCAATGTGTTCACATTTTACAGGAAGGAGGTGGAGTGGTTTATTAAAAGCACAGTTTATGGGAAGCTTGGTAAGGAGCTTGGAGTCTCTTTGGTGCGGTGATACACTTGTTGGATCCTTCTATGGGTATTAATGGGAATGCACAGTAAATATATTATAATGTGAGTGGCTTTCTATCTGAGAGAGATTTTTAGAAAACAGTATTGCACTATATTTGTTATTTTGTATTTTGGGTAAAACCGTGTGGATCTTCATGTGAGATGATCATTGAAGCACGGACACAAGGAGACACAGAGCTGAAGTGAATCTGAGAATAACTGATTGGATATGCACCAAGTATATGAAGGGTAAGGGTAGATAAAGAAGAATACTGGTGAACAAATACACATATGGTTATTTTTTTTTATAAATGTGAGCACAGTGGACAAGATTTGAGGCATGGTGTATTGAGCATACTACACTATATTATATTTCTTTTATTGGAGATCACCGTATGGGAAGATTGGACTCACAGGAAGAAGTTGATGGATATAGTACATTTGATCTTCAATACTGAATTTATCATTTTGAGAGTGCTGGTCACGTCTATCATATTCTAACCTTATTTATGTTTTCATACAATGGAGATAGAGTTGCTATAACTGGATACTGGAAAACATTACAGATGTACATAATTGGACTGACATTGTATAATTGTTTCTTGTAGATGTAAACATGTTATAATTTATTCTGGATTATCTTTATTTATAAAGAAAAGAAATTAAGATTTATACGCTAAAATACCAATTAATGATAATAATAAAAACTTTCAATGGTTAAATAAGTACTTCATGAAAATAAAGATAATGATTTCTCAGAAATAAAATCAGAAATTCATGTTTCTGATTTTATCATTTTGATGAAAAAATGATCATATGAAAAAAGGATGATGCCTAATGAGCCAACCTTATAAGTCCACCAGCCTTTCCTATAAATGCTTTCTCTTTACCAAAAAAGACGCAGAATAAACATAAAAGTAAAACATTTGATTGGTTTTACATTTGTCTCTGATCTTCTTCTGTATGCAATTTAAAAAATAGAAACAAAACACTGTAATCATCCATCTGAAAATAGCTAAATATAACAGACAAACTTGCTTTTGGACATTTTGTATGAAGCAGTTTCAGAAATGGTACATCTTAACAATTCAGCTGGTGTAATGATATGACACTGCTGTGTACGGTCTGGCTTTCTTTTGTTATCTTTGCCAGTTAATGAATTTTTTTAAATTAAAAATTGTTACAGCTGAAACCCAAAACGTAGTCGTAATTTGCTTTGCTTATTTAATATTAGCATTTATATCTTGCCATACTAAATAGCCCTGATGTGTAGCTTTCCCTAGGTCTTTGTTGGGAACCATCCATGGGCTGTATTTCAGCAGATAGATATACAGTTGTGTTCAAAATAATAGCAGTCAGACATCACTAACCTGATCAATTACTGTTTTTGGTAGAAGTTATATTTCTACATGGCAAATAATTTACTAGCAGGTGTAGTAGAGTAATAGAAATCCAACAGACCCAACAGTCATGACATGCATGCTGCTGATTCTGTGTAATTGAATCACTAATTGAAAGGGGCATGTTCAAAATAATAGCAGTGTGGAGTTCTATTAGTGAGGTCATTCATTCTTTGAAAAACAGCTGGCAATTATTGCTCTTAAGGAAGGAAGGCAGCAAATGTTGTACATGCTGGTTACAGTGCATTTCTCTCTGAAATTCTGAGGAAAATGGGTCATTCCAGAACTTGTTCAGAAGAACAGCATACCTTGATTAAAAAGTTGATTGGAGAGGGAAAAACATATAAAAAAGTGCAGAAAATGATAGGCTGCTCAGCTAAAATGATCGCAAATGCTTTAAAATGGCAACCAAAACCTGAAAGATGTGGAAGAAAGCAAAAACTACCATTCGAATGGATATAAGAATAGCCAAAATTGCAAGGACTCAGCCAACAATCAGCTCCAGGAAGCTCAAAGAAGGTCTAAAGTTACTTGTGAGTACTGTTACAATTAGAAGACGCCTATGTGAAACCACGCTATCTGCAAGAAGCCCCCGCCCAGTCCCACTGTTGAAAAAAAGATGTGCTGAAGAGGTTACAATTTGCCAAAGAGCACATTGACTGGCCCAAAGAGAAATGGCACAACATTTTGTGGACTGTTGAAAGTAAGATTGTTCTTTTTGGGTCTAGTGGCCAGAGACAGTTTGTCAGACGACCCCCAAACACTGAATTCAAGCCACAGTACACTGTGAAGACAGTGAAGCATGGTTGCGCAAGCATCATGATATGGGGATATTTCTCATACTACGGTGTTGGGCCTATTTATCGCATACCAGGGATCATGAATCAGTTTGAATACATCAGAATACTTGAAGAGGTCATGCTGCCTTATGCTGAAGAGGAAATGCCTTTGAAATGGGTGTTCCAACAAGACAACGACCCCAAACACACCAGTAAACGTGCAACATCTTGGTTCCAGACCAACAAGATTGATGTTATGGAGTGGCCAGCCCAATCCCCGGATCTTAATCCAATAGAAAACTTGTGGGGTGGCATCAAAAATGCAATTTGAGGCAAAACCAAGAAATAGAGAAGAACTGTGGAATGTAGTCCAATCATCCTGGGCTGGAATACCTGTTCACAGGTGCCAGAAGTTGGTTGACTCCATGCAACACAGATGTACAGCAGTTCTCAAAAACAGTGCTTATACAACGAAATATTCATTAAGTGATTCAAAGGAAAGCAAAATCTTCAAACATTTTTCAGTTCATATAGTGAATGTTTGAATTTGTAAAGAAGAATACAAACACTGCTATTTTTTCGAACAGTCTAATATTTATTTATTTTTCTTCAATTTTTTAGAGGAACAACACAAATTTGATATATTTTTCTTCATGTTTTGATTTGGAATAGCATGTGTAGTGTTCCCAATGCATTTGTGTGTATGGAAATAAAAGCTATTAGAAGGATTTTGAGCTTTATTCACTTTTTTCAACACACTGCTATTATTTTGAACACAACTGTACAGTTTCAAGAAAAAGTATGTGAACCCCTTGGGATTACGTGGAGTTTTGCATGAATTGGGCATAAAATGTGCTCTGAATGTCATCTAAGTCACAACAATAGAAGAACACAGTCTGCTGAACATAATACTACACAAACATTAGATGTTGCCATGGTTTAATTGCACATAACATGTAAACATTCACAGTGCAGGGAGGAAAAAGTATGTGAGGCCCTAGCTTAATGACTTCTCCCACAGCTATTTGGAGCCAGGAGTGAGCCAACCTTGACTCCAATCAGTGTGATGATATTGGATGTGTTGCTGACAGCTGTCCTGCCCTTAAACACACACCTGTTCTGGGTTTACTGGTTTCAAGAAGCACTGTCTGATGTGAACCATGCCTCGCAGAAAAGAGCTCTCAGAAGACCTACGATCAAGAATTGTTGACTTGCATGAAGCTAGAAAGGGTTACAAAAGTATTTCCAAAAGCCTTGATGTTCATGTGTCCATGGTAAGACAGACTGTCTACAAATGGGGAAAGTTTAGCACTGTTACTACTCTCCCTAGGCGTGGTCGTCCTGTAACAATGACTGCAAGAGCACAGCGCAGAATGCTGCATGAGGTAAAGAAGAATACCAGAGTGTCAGCTAAAGACCTACAGAAATCTCTGGCACATGCTAATATTTTTGTTGACACATCTGCAATCAGGAAAACATTAAACAAGAATAGAGTACATGGGAGGACACCACGGAGGAAGCCATTGCTGTCCAAAAAGAATATTGCAGCACGTTTGAAGTTTGCAAAAGAGCACCTGGATGTTCCACAGCACTACTGGCAAAATATACTGTGGACAGATGAAACCAAGATTGAGTTGTTTGGGAAGAACACACAACACTATGTGTGGAGAAAAAAAGGCACAGCACACCAACATCAAAACCTCATCCCCACTGTAAAACATGGCGGAGGGAGCATCATGGTTTGGGGCTGCTTTGCTGCCTCAGGGCCAGGACGGATTGTTGTCATTGATGGGAAAATGAATTCCAGAGTTTATAAAGACATTTTGCAGGAAAACGTACGACCATCTGTCCGCCAACTGAAGCTCCGCAGAGGATGGGTGATGCAACAAGACAATGACCCAAAGCATACAAGTAATTCAACAAAACAATGGCTGCAACAGCACAGAATATGCCTTCTGGAGTGGTCCAGTCAGAGTCCTGACCTCAACCCGATTGAAATGCTGTGGCATGACCTTAAGGGAGCGATTCACACCAGACATCCCAAGAAGATTGCTACACTGAAACAGTTTTGTGAAAAGGAGTGGTCCAAAATGACTCCAGATCGTTGTGCAGGTCTGATCTGCAACTACAGGAAACGTTTGGTTGAGGTTATTGCTGCCAAAGGAGGGTCAACCAGTTAAGTCCAAAGGTTCACATACTTTTTCCTCCCTGCACTGTGAATGTTTACATGTTATGTGCAATTAAACCATGGCAACATCTAATGTTTGTGTAGTATTATGTTCAGCAGACTGTGTTCTTCTATTGTTGTGACTTAGATGACATTCAGAGCACATTTTATGCCCAATTCATGCAAAACTCCACGTAATCCCAAAGGGTTCACATACTTTTTCTTGCAACTGTATAAGAAAGTTAAGATAACAGTTAAAATAAATAATTGTTTTATTTTGCATTTTAACGCCTTCCTCCCACAGATTCTTAAAGCATTGATTTGCAGTGTACTTGACAAGTCAGTAAATTGTGAACTCCTATAAAAGTATGCTGTCTATGGATGTTAGGGAAAATCACTTTCTATATATGGTATGTCACTGTATTTCCTGTCCACTTCTGCCCATTGCTTTACAGCTTTAGTTACAATTTCCTCTGATAAGCGTTCAGCGTATTCCAAGAGCACTGGATTGGCAGGGGGGAAATCTTTACTGTCTTCTTCAGTGGCTTCAACCAAAGCAATATTTTCCCCTGCATGTTTGTCATTATTGTGGCTGTCCTGCAAATGTATGGTGTTCTTTACAGTGTAATCACGCTTCGACTTTATGCATCCCATAATAATAGCAACCAACTGAACAGTAATTCCAGGAGCAGCTCTAGTAAAGTGAGTTTGCCTGTCATGCCTTATATGAAGCGTGAGAGATCCCAACAGTAGCTTATGACCATTTTTTCTTCCATCCCAATTATTCCTGGAATAAAAGATATAAAATGCATTAATACACAAATATTATTTTGTGGAGGGCTAGGGGCATGTGACATGCAAACATATACTCCAGCAAATATAAACTGTATCTCCAGGCAAAAATAGAGAAGGGTTAAAACCTGTGTCAGTATAACATGTAATGCACACATACAGAGATTGGACAAAAATAAAAACACTACCTTATTTGCAGGTGTGAAAAGTGACAACATGTTTCACATTGAAAGAGGAAGTGATGTAACATTCTTTTGCTTCAGCTGTGTAATGAGACACCTAGCTAACAGGTGTGAAGCCTCACTTTCATCATTCACTGAGGGTGCTGCTAAAAATATAGAGTCTTGTTGGAGTTTACTGAGCTTCCAAGAGGCCAAACTGTTGGTGTCCACTTAGCTGGTGCCTTTGTGACTGAAGTTGACAAATTATTTGCCATGTCACAAGGTACAGTATCACAGGTTATAACGGCATATACAGGTTCTGGGAAAATGTTGTCTGATAAGGACAAGCGCAAGCGACATGGTCAACTAACCAAAAGGGACAGAAGGACATTTTGCAGGATTATGACCCAGAATATGAAAACAACTTCTGCAAAAGTTACTGCACAGCTCAATCTCAGTCTTCACGGGATTGAGACTGCAGTTTAGTCCAAGTAAGCCACCTCTGCATTTGACTGCAACACACTGCACTCATCACTTGAAGGTGAGCACTCACATTTCCTTTCGGGAGATTCAGGTATCCCAGTCTGACAATGACATCTCATCAATTCACAAGAAATTAGAAAGGTAAACTCTTAGTGTGCATGCAGCCCTTATACACTGCAAACCTACAGGGGCGGATGGCATTTGGTCCTTGGATGTACAAGATTTGTATTAATTGACACAGACTAAAAATCAGTGAAGCATTTACTCTGTAAACATAAACTCCTGCCTCAATGCTGACATACTGTGGTTCTAAAGCTCTTGTTCTTGTTAATTATCCCCCTCCCAGGCAGACAGCGCTCTAATAGCTCTAACTGCTGTGAATTAGCAATGATTAGACAAACCTTAAAGCTTAGATTCAGAGCAATTTAAAGGTTAAGTATTTTTTTTTTTCATTATTCAAAACTGTCTACAATACAGCTAATATAAGTACCTATATCTGTCTTTATTTTAGCTTCCTGTAATCTGCTTCCTCCTCTGCACCACAGGACCTCGGGGAGCAGGCTCTACATTGACGAACCCACATTACTATCTTGTTATGGGGATTGGCTATGCCACCTGGCAGGAGTTTGTGAATCAAAAGACTGGCTGAACAGCCAAATCCGTAGCAAGTCTTTTGGTAAGACATTTATTTATTTAATTCTTGTGTTTGGCTACTTTCCTAAATTTCAGCTGAAAGATGCATGTTTTCATTTATTTTCACATGTTTGCAAATGTCACCAAGTAGATACCAATAGAAAAGATCAAAATCATGCTATAAAAACACAATGCACAAAAAGACAAAGAAAGATTGATTTGAACAAATGTAACCATAGTCTATAGCAGCAATGGGCAAACTATGGCCCGCGGGCCGTATACGGCCCGGCGGACCTTTTAATCCGGCCCGCAGAGCTAGGCTCCCGCTAGGCTCCTCTCACAGTCCGCCCTGAAGACCGGTGTAGCATGAAAATCTGTCTCGATACGTCGAGGGGGACAGATCCTCATAGGAGACAGATTTTCATGCTACACCGGAACGGCGCGGGAACACGGCGAGAGGAACGCACGGAGCAAAGGTCAGTGAATTGACACAATATGGGGAATGAATTACTATAGGGGGAATGAATTACTATAGGGGGATGAATTACTATATGGGGGATGAATTACTATGGGGGATGAATTACTATATGGGGGATGAATTACTATATGGGGGATGAATTACTATATGGGGGATTAATTACTATGCTTACTATGGGGGAATATTACTATACTTACTATGGATGACACATACACATCATTCCTCTACTCTTGGTCCGGCCCCCGGGGCCAATATATGAACCCATTGCGGCCCTCAAGTCAAAAAGTTTGCCCACCCCTGGTCTATAGCATACAAATTCTGTTATTTTCCATGTGCAGCTTTCAATTTAAAAACAAACATCTAAACAACTACAGCACCGCTATTTCCCCTTAGGGGCTGGTTCACACCTGCAACTCAGTGCAGTGCAATTTTCAGCCCATTCATTTGAATGAGCTGAAATTTCACTGGATCACACCAAAATAGTGCATATACTACTCTACAAAAATGTACTGCACCAGATCTCATGGTAATGCAGTACCATGTAATCTGGTGCAATCAAATGCACTTCATTTGAAATCTGCTTTTTGGGTGTAATTAGGATTATACTGGCACCTGCAGCAAATCACAAACACAGTGCGAGAAATACTCATGGAACATGGGTTTTCCCACACAGCATTCTGGCCTTAACAAGCCCTAACCGTGTTTTTGAAAATCAGTCCCACAAGCTCCCCTCCTGGCTAAAGCATTCACCTCCTTACTTGAGCTCCTTACTTGAGGGTCATTCTTTTTGACCAGAGAAACTTAGTCCATAGACTGACCATTTGGAAACTCGGACACTGCTTGAGGGTCAGTAGGGGGTCCCATGAGATGCCCCTGGTACCTTTTTCATAGGCTTTTTTGAGTTTGGGCAAGGACACAGGGGCCCCATGATCCCCTACTGCTCGAGGGCCCCATGAGTTGTCAGTCCGCCCTTGGTCCATAGTTTTTATGACTCCAAAACCATACACTAACGACCTGAAATGGTCAAACTATCAACCCATTTGGCTGCTAAATTTCGATGTTAAGCTGCTAACAAAAATACTCTCCCTGTGAGTGAACTCCCTCATAGCCACTTTGGTTCATACAGACCAAGTTGACTTTATACCGCAAAGACAAACCCAGGATAACACAATTAGGATAGCATTGATACTCCACTTAATGCACTCACATCCCAGCCTACCTTTTATTGCTTGATTTTCCTAAAGTGTTTGATTTCGTCTCCTGACTGTCCTTACGCTACATTCTAATTTGCTGGGGTTTTGGCATGAACTTTCAGTGCTGGACTTTTGCGATGTACAACAGCCCAAGTGCCTACCTCTGCTACCCCAACTACAAATCTACAGTGTTTCCTATAGCATGGGGGATCAGGCAGGGATGCTCCTTATCCTACTTACTGTTTGCTTTGGCAATTGAACTGCTCACACATTTAAATTGTAATGAACCTAATATCCAAGGTTGAGGTAGCAGGTATCCACCGTAAACTTTGTATGTTCATGGACAATGTCCTTTTCTTCATCGCAGCTCCACTTATTTCAACTCCAAACTTCCTCCCTCTGTTGGATAAATTCATGCAAATCTCTGGGCTGGAGATTAACTGATCCATGTCTAGGGAGCTAAATGTCACTTTGACAGATGCAGAGCTCAAGGTGCTACAAGCGCCAATCCCTTTTTCAGTGGTCAGACCAGAGCATGAAATACCTAGGCATTCAGCTCATGAGACACCCTGATTCTCTATATAGGGTGAATGACCCTCCAATGATAACTCACTTATCCCATTTAATGTCTAAGTGGTCATCACTCCAAATCTATTGCTTAGGTAAGATCTCTGCAGTTAAGATGACCCTATAACCAAAAATTCTCTACTTGTTTAGAGTATTACTGATCCCAGTTCCCTCTTATTATCTTTGATTACTACAGCGTAAGGTCTCCTGTTTTATTTTGGGTCAACCCGACGCCACCTCCTGAAGTCATCACTCTAAGTTTGACGGTGGCCTAGACATCTATCACTTCACTAAATATTACCAAGCAGTCCAGTTGGCCCCCTCCTCAAATACCATGTAACCCAAGAAGCACCACTCTGGGTTGGCTAAGAGGCTGTAGATGCTAATACCAACACCCTGGACAACTTGAATTGGCTCCCTGCAAGAGACTGAGTACCACCTTTGAACCCCTTGGCCCAACATTCCCTGCCTCTAAAGAACAAGATAAAACATAAATTGAAACTTATATCCTTACACATCCTGTTGTTATCCTTCCTCCACAATCCGGCTTGGAATCATCTTCTACCTTTCACCACTGGTCACGCCTGCATTTAATTCGGCCAGCTTCAAACCCCCTTCTCCTACCAAAACACCATAAACTCCCAAGTTCAGAATTTTTTTTAGGTACATCCTGATGAGACACTTGTATACTTCAAACATACAGCTCCATTTTCATTTCCACACTCTATAGGGTCCTGTTATACAACCTAAAGCCCTCCACCTCCATCTATGTCGACAGATGGACAGCAGAACTCTCACTGGACCTTACGCCAGAAGACAGGATGGACATTTAGCTAGCAATTCAGAAACTGTCCCAACATATATCAAGTATAGAAAAAATCTTCGAAGTAATATCCAGGCGGTATCTGGTGCCCCAAAGGATAGCGAAATATGTCCCTGGCTTTCTTTTGGTGGCATTTGATCACTACTGGGTTTTTTTATTTTTTCACCAACACTCCCTTTCCTATCTCTGATCTCATTGCCATCACAGTGTCCCTTTGCTGCCCTGACTTGGCCACTTCTGTCTACAACAGTTCGCTTTCTTCCACACTAAGACTCACTTGCTCCTCTAACTACACAAAGTATCAGGCCCCGACCATTACAACCTTGGCAGACTGACAACACCGAAAATCTTAAGACACATAGCCATGCACTGCAGTGATTGTGGCGTAAAACCAAATCCCAGCCAGAATTCACCCTGTATAAATCTGCTTTCTTAAAATACAATTACTCCCTCCATGCTGCCAAACAAGCCTACTTTGTCATTCTTATTAATACCTTGTCATCTAGTCCTCGTCGTCTCATCTC